AAAATAATAATTATTGGTCAAATTATTTCCATTGATAACTCGAAAAAAATAAGATTGATGTATCGTCATTTTGTGATCAGTACATTAATTTTTTAAATTCTGAACGGAGCAATAAATAAATTGATTTTACTGTGATATGTGAATTTATTTAAAATGTTCATGATTTTTGTTTTCTACCGGAAATTTCGTTTCAAGCAAAAAAACGACAATACACAGTTTTCGTTGAATAGAGAAAATAGGAGTTTTTTCGTAATTACAATACACAATCTAAAAAACAAAATGTAGAAAATAAAATTTTTAAAATTGAATAATATTTTTAATAGATGCGATGTTTAAATATATATATAAAAAAATGATACAAAATTTCTTTACAATAACTGTTTTATAATAGGCAATAAAAACTAAAATTCGTGAAAATAATAATTCCGTGCCAAAATGTAGTTTGTCAATTTAAATTACCTATCTAGCTCTTTCATTGTTTAGATGGTTATTTTAAGAAATAATGATACATTTTTCAAATATTTATTTAAACTCTTATTGTTGCACCAATAATAATAATGAAAAATAAATAAAATTATTGTAAGGCAATAATTGCCTTTTACACTTCAATTATTCAAGTGTAAAGACTTATACTTTGTTATTTTTATCAATGATTTCCAAGGTTGTATATTTATGTAAATAGGTATATCTGTAACTATATTTATTAGTTATCTTTGTACTTTAATTTTTTAAATACAGACGATTTACGAAAATTCGAAAATTGGGTTACGTATGGGTTGATATTGGACAAAGGGAATTGTTATAAGAAAACAAATTCTTAAACGTTACAATATATGATCGGATTGGATGTACAATTCCGTTTACATTTTTGAAATACTGGTTTTAGGCCTACGATTTACATTTTAGATTGTGAATGTAATGATTCAACAATGTTATATATTTTTCTTGGAAAATACTTTAATTCAATATTAGTAAAAATGTTCTGTTTTTTTCATGTCATATAAATATGAGGACTTTACATTTTGTTACTTTATTGAAACATTTTTCAAAATTATTTTCTAAAAATTGATTTTATATTTTTTTTTTTTTTTTTAAAAATAGTTTTTGGTTAAAAAATATTCAAGTGTTTTCGAGCAGTACCCCGAAATATGGGAAATTTCTGTTCGTCGGTACTTTATTTGAATCATTTATCAAAATATTCAGTGTATCACCTCTTAAATATTTTAGTTTATGAGGTTTTACAATGATATTTATTTTTATTTTTATCTGTGGATAACTTTTCTACCAAACATTTTGTTCAAATTTTCAATGAATCAATTTTTCAGAAATTATATCTGACTGGAGTAGTACTTTAAGTGGGATTTTCATAATAAATTGGAAAGACGGGAAAATTTACGAAATTTTTCATTTACAAATCGTAATTATTACGGACTTTAAAAAATATATATACAGCCTTACTCCGCTCAGAATCATTTTTCGTTAGCAAAGAATAATCGTTGCGTCAGATATACATTAAATTTCCTTATAATATGTCCTACCTTTTTAATTTCTCACCTACAACAATTGCTCACCCATTGTACGAAGTAGGTCTTTTTGTTTTTTTTTTATATTTTAACATCTGAATTATTATTAATTTAAGATTACCTTATTAGCAAACAAGGAAAAGCCACGTATAATACTATTCCGTTCAGAATCGTTTTTTTCATTTAAAATGATTTATCGTTACAGTATAATATAAATAAAATCACACATTACTACAAAAATTTTTTTTTTTTTCTTATAGTTTTCATAACGCGGCTGCCATTTGCTTTTTCACGTATAGAACAATAATAACAGAAAAATACACACGAGTGTTTAGTGAAGTGTGTTAGATAGTGAAATTATGTTTTTTTATTATATAATAATATTATGTTGGCTATAATATAAGTATATGGAAAAGCGTTAAACGCTTTCTGCGTAAAAATGCATAAATATACAAGTATATGTATACATAGAGAGAAACCGGAAACAAAAATACAATTTATTTTACAGTATTATTTGTCGACGAAATTACCATTATAAACAAAGACCCTCATGTATTTTATTTTTTATTAACGTATATGAATATTATGCGTCGTATACGTGTAATATTTTTTTATGATCGTATTTATATACACATGAGATACACCATAGTAAATTATCACGTTCAACCACCACCCGTTTTTCTATAGAATTAAATAGAAAAAAATGAAGAGCTGGTACGAAACACGGGTATGTCATTATTGGAGGTGAGCATTTGGGAAGGTAGAATATATAAAGTTATTTAATTTATATCTGTAAGCGACGATATACTAATGCTAACGAAAAACGATTCAGAGCGAATTTTAGTTATGCAGTAATACTTATTTACGAATTTCGTCAAAATTTGATATTAAAAATCTTATGAAAAAAAAAAAAAAAATACTCTATATTACTCTGAACTTTTTTTGACGACAAATGATAACTTGTAATGAATCTTCTGTTAAAAGTTGATGTATTTCTGTTTTGTTAAACAATTTTATCCGCATAAAACCAAATGAAAACTTGACGAGTAACTATCAAATGAAAATTACGTAAAAAAAAAATCTAAAATTGAAAAGTCTATAAATATCTCAAAAATGGCTCAAATGATTTTAAAATTGTGTACAACGTCTTAGAAAGGTGAAAGTAAGTTTTTGTCATTTCAAGTCTCTATGAAAGTTTTTTCAAAATTAAAATAAAATAAAACAATTAAAACAAAAAAAACTAAATTAAAAATAGTAAAAGCATTATTTTCGTAATTTTTCCCGTTCTTTTTACGTTTCTTTTTAGTTTTGCTTAATCATTAAAAAAACCTACAAGGAAAATAAATAAGAAAGCCTTCATACTTAATAATTAAATTAAAAATGCAACAAAAAGGTCACTTATTTTTTTTCTATTAGAGAAATACTTCTGGTAGAAAACTTAGTTTGCAAAACTAAAAGCAATGAAATTGGTAACGCCGTAAATATATTTATACAAATTTTCTTTCAGAAAAGATGCTACACTTGATACACCGGAACAAGTTTCTTTTCAATAAGTTTTTTACAGGCGGGGAAAAAAACACATCGTGGTAAAACTAATAAACCCGACCACTCCGAATTTAAAATAGAGATAATAAATATTGTTTTTTAGGATATATATATAAGTGTAAATTTGTCAAACAAATTCAGAAAAAGTTTAAATGTTGTGTTTTAATACTTACGAATAAATTGTATTCGAATATAGTGCAGTCGATTTTCCATTCTAAAGTGGTTGGAGTAAATTTTTAAAGTTGTCTCGAAATTGGTGAAATTTGAACAATATTTTATTTTACATTTAATGACCCGCCTTACCGATAAGACCTGTTAATCTATTACCTAATATCCGGAACAGATGAGGCCGTTTTTACGGACGAATACGACGTTTTAAACCGAAATACGCCAAACAAACACGTACGGATAGAAATTGAAGGACTTTAATTTAACACTATAAATATGATGGTATATTTCTTATTATTTCATATTCTCGTAGAAATACGTCTTAAAATTTCGAAATATTTTAAAATCGTCTCCGTCAAAATTTAGTTAACATTTTTATCAATTTAAATATGTTTTAAAAATTAAAATCCATCAAGCTGAAATCCTACATTTTAATAATTGTCTACATTTTCGGTCTAAATACCACTTGCTATTTCCAACGACTGCAATTCTCTTAAAACCGATTTAGCCGAGTCAAAACAATTTCGTTTCCGCGAATGAAAAATAAAACACGAGTATAATCTAGTAAACAAGTATTTAGTAATGCGCAAAATACTACAAAACAAAAATTACGAACATTTTTGTTTTGTATTAGTTTAAACTTCAAACGCCCGTAAAAGAATATTTCCATAAAAACCTTCTATGCCAAATTTCGACCTTTTTTACGGGATACAAAAATACAAAAATACAATTCAAATCACAATATATATATCAAAAAAACTACAGTAGTACTTAATTCAGAGAAATTTCGTAAATAATCATTTTTTAAATGTATTTAATGTACTTGTGATGATGATAATATTGTGATATAAACCAATAGATTATCATGTGTGCAATTTTCCACACCACCTTAGTTATCGGCCTACAGCAATAATTTTTTGGATTTTGGACTTACGTTGTTTAAAAGCACGGAGTATTGTACGTGGTGCGGTTTTTTTTTAAGTGGTGTCCCCAAGTAGGCCTATTCTACTGTTTATTAAATGTAGTAGAGCGATTTTTAAATATATTATATTATACATACTTATATATTATTGATTTAAAAAAAATGATTTATCGACTTTTGTACAACGATTTGGGAACGCTCTACTGCACCCGATTATTATTTTACTTACAACACTATCATACCTACTAGACTCATTGACTATAGAAAAGATACAACTGACTGATTTATTGACTTACTGGATGATTTATAGGTGGGTATGTGCAAGTTAAAATAATAGTATACTTGCATTGGACACTTTGTTTTATATACGATGAGTAGACTAACTTTTCTGGCGCATATTTATCCGACTGCAGTCTGATTGACTTATAGAAATTATAATATCTTCACCTCAATTTATTTATTTACTTACCTTGGCGCCGAGCCCTGGTTATCAAAGTGCCGTACAAGGTAAACTTCGATGCTTCCTCGGTTCTTGCACTTGGAAATTTTGAAGCCCTTCACGTCGACATCGTCGCACTACATCAACAATGCAAAAACACAATTGTTCTACACGATTCGCGAAGTTAAGTAAAAAAATCATAATTGAGATAGGTATGTGAAATATAAAATCAATAATAGATACTAAACCCGAAAATTAAATAGAAAAAAAAAAATGTAAATCTCCGAACGAAAAAAGAATGTGGAAGCCAAAAATGACGTAAAAAATAATAAAATAAACTTACTTACGAAATCGAAACTAACATAATAATACACAATCATTCGGATTAAATACATGTATAGGTATATCGTTTTATTTTGTATTTCTGTCTTGGATACCATAACAAACAAAATATTTTATATTATACTAGCCAACAAGCTATCATCTATTCATTTAAACTTATGATAAATATGTTGTTGTTGGTTGCTGAGTAACAGGTACTTAAGGGTCTGCACTGCTTCCACTATTCCCCATTATTAGCAGCTTCTTCCACATTCCAAATTCCCTGCGATCTTGTTTAATCTTGTTATAATCTGTCCGTCCACTTTTGTCTTGGCTTGTGTTAGTTTAGAACAATATATTATGCATCTATAATATATTGAAATTAATTGAATATTTTAATTATTTCTCAGTTTTTGACTTCTTAACCTTCCAAGAATTTTAGCGGTCATCGGGAATGCACTTTCATCTACCTATAATACCTGGATTGTAATTGCTTTAAAACTGTGCAGCATGCACAGGGAAACTTTTCTATTCTAAATAAAACATATACGCTACAAGCACAAAAATACTGGTTTTAACAATTGTAACTGTATACTTAAGAAAGTATGAAAAATTTTATTTGTGAAATTATAAGATGTTATACAGCTCGTATAATATAAAAAAAAAAAAATAAAATATCCATATAAATTTTGAGGTTTTTAAGTATTTATATTTTTTAAAATTCATGATGGCTTAGTTTGATTTACATATACTTAAATTACATCAGTAACTTTAGTCCGATTTATATAGTTTTTAGAGCTAAATTAAAATATTCATTTGACGGTTATATATATAAAAAAAGATCGAATACCTAATGGAAAACTCTTCAACGAACCCTGATTTAAAGTTTTTTTTTTTGTAAATTGCATGTTTATGACCACGTGCCAACCCTGAATAATGCATTAAATTTCGGAATCGATAAAATAACCCTCAGAACGGTTAAATTTTGCTATATATTTTATAAAAATAACAATAATTTATTTTATACGCGCTCTTTAAAATGTCTACCAAATATTCTCAAACTCTTTAAGTGAGCAATTAATATAGAAAGTAAATTTATTAGTTTTTTCACAATTTGTTTTTTTTCGGTTATTATTACCATTATTATTATTTTGTGTAGGTCTGTAAAATGTTCAAAAGTTTCAACTACTAAATATCTTGTTAAAAACTATGATAACTAGATATCAAAAGATGATTTCGTTTCTTTCAAGATTTAGGTATAACTGAATAAAATAAATGAAAAAGAAATTATAGGGTAAGGAAAGTGGAAGTTTGAATTTTTTATACTCTAATCCATAGGGAATTAGAATGGTTTTTTGATTTAATACAAAATGGTCTTACTGTCTTAGAAGATAAATTCGTGAGCACTGGCTATCTCCTATGTGTTTATTTTGTTCTCGCTTATGAAAGGCTTAATCAGTTTTTAATTAATTTTTCTTATCATTGATTCAAAGATCGTCTTAAGTTGAAATTATTAAAATGCCTAATATTGTACAGAGTATACATTTTTTTTTTTTAAATTTAATGATTTTTTATGCTTTATATTTGTAATAACACGATTATTTATTTAAATTAATTATAATTATGATTTTTCAACCTAAAAATTTACTAAAACTGTCTCTTTAAACGATCGCGTTTGACAAGCCCAGGTGTTCCGACCTTATCTTCTAAGACCGTGGTATACAATAGTATTTTTTTTATACTAAAATAATAGTTTACTGACCTGCCTATTATATTGTTTCCGTCATTCAAAATAGCGTTCTAAATCCGGATTAAGTATACTGCAGTTGGCCCCGGGGCTGAACTAGAAAATGGGTTCTCTTTACATAAACTGTATCCTTTACATCCATGACGGGCCCGTGGGTCGTGTGGTCCCTTGTCTCTTCTGTTAATCTGTTCTTGCTTGATATTATACAACTACATTCAAATAATATTATTGCGTATTTGCGGTATTAAAATCATACCAAAATAGCGAAACATCAAAATAATATTATTATTTTTTATTTACTATTTCGGGATAAAATAAAAAAATAAAAAAAAACCACGTCATAGTATTATTATCATTAACGCGATAATAAGTACGTTTAAATCGGAAAAAAAAAACACAATTTTAATAATATATTTTCGATTAACCGTCGGCGGTGTTATCGATTGTAACGACACAAAACTCATAATAATAATATATAGTATTACCTTTCTTTTCACATATAGGTACACTTACTGTATTATAAACTGTACGGATCGATTTCAGTTGACATAATTATTCATTGTTCTAAGAGAGGTCGTTGGTCTACTGCAGGTTCCCAACGGTTTATTATACTTACCGTATTATAATTTATACGCGAGTGTGTATAATAAACATTGCACGATAGTAACCTGATAACGTGTTAATTTTTGAAATAATTAAGATAAGTGTACAAAGGTAGGTAATAATAAGTACCTGCAGTAGGTATATGAACGATTTATAAAAGACGTGTCGACTTTTCGAACCGTTTTTAATTGTCGCGCGCGGTTCATATCGACTGCTTCTGATATCGCGTGGCGATTAGGTACTGCGACATACAAGGTTGCCTATATTTTAAATTGCTTATTGGTACGCATTATCGCTATCAATGTTTAGTGTTTATCGAGTAAACAACTCGAACGAAAAACGCAAACTGTTTGAATGTTTGCTTGTCGGGCAAATCGAACCGATTTTACGGTTTGTTTTACGATACGTATTATTTTTTTATTAGAACCATTCCCAAAGTCGAAGATCAGATCGTGGTTTCTATTATCTTTATGAAGAGAGCATTTTTTATTAGGATCTCCATATACGATGCTTTTTTCACATTTAAAGTAGCAATATTATTATTTTATGGTTATAATAAATGATCGTTAATTATAAGCGACATAAATAATTTATATCTTAATAAAATTAACATATCGTCTAGTAACTAACGTAACTACTTGAAATAATAATAATATATGAAGTCGAAACGATAAATTTCAAAATTTAAATTCTTTATAATTGTTTTTCTAATAAAGTAATGCAATAATGAAAATAAGTACAGTACAATTATGCAGTATATAATTATCGTCACGTTAAACTTTACACGATATATAATATCGTATCTTTACCCACTTGTTTTGAAATAGGTATTATCTTTGTTTATCTTAATGTGTGAGTATAATTATATTTAATTTATGCATAGATTAGAGTAAATATTTATTTTTTTTTCCGATATTGAAAAAAAACTCCAATTTTATTTGAATAAATTAAATTATTGTAGAAACAATTTAAATTATTATCCCGAAACGACTAAAACGCAAAATCGAAATTTGAGTCATCAAAATGTATACAAAGTAAAATCAAATCTGATTATTAACGATAGTAATATTATGATTTTGTTTGCGTTGTCTTCTCCGGTTTTATCTTTTTCATATTGCGTACATATTCGTTTTGTTGTTACATTTTATTTATGTATTACAATACAATAACAAATACAAATCTCAACTGTAGTTAGATGCATCAATCTTTAAAACGAAATTTATCAAAATAATTTACTATTTATACTTGCATCAGGCTACATAGCATATCTTAAGATTTATTATAATTATTTTAAAAACTTAAACTTACAAAGTAAAATTATAATAACTATAATATTATCATCTAAAAGCTTTCTTCAGAAGTTATGTTCATAAGTATAATAACTAAATTTTAAATTTTAATAATTAAGTGTTTTACAGACGTGTACGTAATTCCGAAGAAATTTAATAGACGTAAAGACATAAAAAAATAAGTAAATGTTTTGAATGTAGAACACATTAAGTTGTTCAATTTATAGATAGAAATACGTAACAGTAAATTATTTTTCACGAAAAATAATTTTCAGTGAAACATGTTTTAAAGTGCCGTGATTTTTACTATTTTCGCGAATGTAAAATTAAAAAACTCATGAAAAAAAAACACTACTACACAATCAAATTTTTTTTTTGAATAATCGTTGTGTGAAGTGTTCAAACATTCATGATCGGCCGAAAGTATCCATATAAAACTAAACTAATTTTTAAATGCCAAATGCTTATAAATAATTATAAAATCACCAAAATGATTTGAAAATTTAAACACGTCTAGAAAAAGTTTTACACGATTATTTTACATTGAATAACACGATAAAAAAAAAAAAAACAAAACTGTTATACATCAAAAACCGTTTTGTTTCCCATTTTCCCAACGGTTTTTCCTTGTTTCTTACAATATTACTAAGAAAACTGTATGGAATATAGAAAAATTACATCTTCCAATACCCTGTCCAAAAAACTACCGATTAAGCTGGTGAATAGTGTAAAATTTGTGGCATAGAAAAGCCGTTTATAGATCAAGTTAATAAAAAAGAACATATCATAATTATTGGCATCAGTATTATTAAAAAAAAAAAAAATTCAAAAATATAATTTATTAGAGACATTATACTCTTCTGATCCATTCTGAAGGTTCTGGGTAGGTCATAACTTTTCTAAAAAAATATTGGTCTCGGTCGAGTAGTAAAAATATGTATAAAAAAAAAAAAAAAATAATAATAATAATAAATAAATAAAGTCCCATAAAAATATGTTCCTTATATTTTTGGCAAGTGTTGAAAAGGTGATGTTTATTATTACTTTTTTTTTAAGTTTTTCTAGGACCCGATTTTTTTTCTTTTAGAGCTTTAATACTCTCAAAGAAATTCCATAAAAAATAAATCTTTAAGAACATTATTATATTATTACAATCTATCAAAGTACAGTGTTTATGAAGGATTCAGCAAAAACCGAGGAGGTTTGTTATTAATTTTTAAACATTTTATAGTGCATAGTGCATACCTACATTGGAATCGGTTATTTCCGGTAAAAGTAGCCAGTGGGCTGGCCCAAATACTAAAAAATTAAAAATATCTCGTTACATAATATAATATCGATACATTAATTTTATGCATATTAATACAAGATAAATTACAAAACTAAATAAGATAAAAGATACACGACATATGTATCTAATATACACAACGATATAAGTTAATTAAATTTTTAAATTTTTTTAATCTGAGTATATATTTTAGATTCTGAGTGTAATGAAGAATGTATTTGGTTTTACAAAGATGTTTATTAATTTAATTTTTCAGAATCGTTTTTCGTTTGCAATGGTTAATCATTACGTACAGATATACATTAAATTTCCCATTTACCTTATCAATTTCTCACTACAACTACACCAAACTACACCAACTACACCAACAAACTACACCCACAACTACTACCCACGTGCGAAGTATGTTTTTTTTTTTTTGAAAATTACTACACCGATAAAAAGTTTAAGTGTAGTTAAAATATTTTGTATCGTTTAACAGAAAAAACTACTCGATACCTCAATAAAATATATTATCGTGATACGAGAAATATTACATGAACTCAAAAAAAGATACGAGATATATAGTAATTCGTGTACGGTGCATCATAATAATTGTGTTTGCGATACCGGTAACCCGGTAGGTAAGTCAGCAGGTCAGGTTATGATATTATATTGCTCGCATTTCGACGAATAATGCGAATAAATTTTACGACGATTTTCAGATTGGTTTTCGGTAATAATATTTCAACATTTTAAGTACACAGGCGGGTATATTACAGGAGTGTATTACACAAGTATGGGTGATCACATAAAAAAAAAAAAAACAGTTAATTTATTATTCGTTGCACGCGGGGCCAACGCGGTGAAGGGGAACTGCACCGAGTATCTAATTAACGTCAACGCGCGTATACAATAATATTAGTATTGTTGTTGTTGCGATCTGTGCTGTGCGTGGGGTTATGCGAGGGGGGAACAAAAACGTCCGAAAAATATTTTAAAAAGTCGATACGGCGGATGGCGTTTTAAGAGCTCTCTGACGGCCCTGACGTATTAAACGCAACGCTCTACCGTTACGAAAATGATTAACACAAATTAATTTTGTTTTAATACAATTGTACCTACGTCTTACGAAAAAGAAACGACTTATTGTGTCTACCGTTTGTGTAAGAAAACCGTGTTTTATACAAGCGAGAATCGTAAGATGGGGATACTTTTAAACCCCGTCCATAATCGCTTTTGCCTCTTTACGGGACTTTTTTCACGTTTTCACGCTCTTTTAAATTTAAAAATGAATTGTACAATTTTTTTTTTTTATATTTCATCAAAAAGAAATATTTCGTAAATCGTTTAACGACAATATGTTTAAAAAATTACAAGTTTCATGCAATTGTATAGTCCTAGTTGTTGGTTGAACGTGACAGTTGATAACACGAGAGCTGTACTTGTGCTGTACTACAACTGCACGAACAATACTATCACATTACCGCACCACCGCGCCACTGTAAATCGTTCAACCGTCTTAAAGATCGCGGTGTAAACGCATAGCGCGGTAGCGACGACCGGTTATTACGAAAGCGGTTTTACTTTCGCGACAGCGACTATCACGGTTGACCGTCATCGTGTGACCGGATCTCGAGTAACGGGAACGAAACACAAAAACCTCGTGAACCTACGTCCGCCTCACTTAATCGACTTATTGCACTTGCACGCGGCTGTCGTCGTTCGGCGGAGGAGTAATTATATGGAGGGGAGGGGCGTGGGTGACGTTTATCGTTTTTTCCGTTGTTGTACGTGTCCAGTCACGGAACAGAAATTAACGCCGGACCTGACCTAACTGGTTTAATACTTGACGGACGAGGCGATTGCTATTGTTGTTGTCCCGCGTCGAATAAAGATACGCATTATTGAAATATCGTCATCGGATATGGACAAGGGGTAATCGGGAACTTTATTAGGATAATCGTGTCATAAAGCCCGGCAATTATATTGGTAAAAAACAGTAACGAGTACGCGTCGCGCGGATTTCGCGGTGGATGTTGTCGCGCGACTGATGCGATTCAATAGACTTTTTGTCGATCCGGTATCGCTGCCAACTGAATACTGCACTTGCCGTTTCTAATTAACACGTATTAGATTAAAATGTATCGATTCGATTCGCGTGAGGTCCAATGGCGTTCGTCTCGGATAACACAATATTTTACAACACAACGGCGTTCGGGTGGATATAATTTCTCACTTATTTGGTGAAGATAAAAAGACGACCTAACATGGTGGTCTGTCCGGGCGTCGTTAATATAATTCATTTAAACGAGCCGCGCGGTTTCTGTGCGTCGCGTCTGCCCGCGTTTTCGCCCGATTATTTCCGTGAGAACGTTTCGGGCACCGGTAAAACATCGCGCCAATAAAATATCACAACCCGATCCCCCTCCCACCTGTTCGTAGAGAACGAGGTGTCAAGGTCTCGGACGGCGGCGGCGGTCATCGCTCGTCAAACAATAATGCGACGACGACGACGACGACGACGTATTCGTACCGCCAAAACGGACGGAAAACCAAATAAACACGGGACGGCGGCGGCTGCGGCGAACGGGGCGCGGACACGTCGCCGCCGCGCGGTCGGACGCGTAGTTTTCCCGTGTCGTTTTTTTTTACAATCGCGTACCGTCCGCGCAACGGTATTATTATCGTTGTCGTTTGCGACGCCGCGCGACACAACATCTCGGCGTCGCAACGAGATAGGTAATGACGGCGGTAAATAAAATGTAGTATTATCGTTATTGTCGTTACCGTATCGTCAATATATATGTATATATATATATATAAATATACGCGTATGTATTTTTTTCTCTCTCAAACAAACCGAAGGGAACTCCCGCGCCGAACCCGGCCGCGATATCAAACGCAAGCGGCGGCGGCTGATGACCGGCGGCGGCGACGGCGGCGGAACGGGCGTAGTGACGCGCGCGGAGTGGGACGCCGCGGAGACTTTTTCGCGCGCGCCCGACCGACCGACCGCGCGGCGGCATTAAAACTCGTCGTCGGTAACTCGCCGGTACGCACGGTAGTCACGTTCCGCACGCCGATCGGTCGTCATCGCGCGCGACAGCGGTCCGCGTACGACACGACCGCCTGTCGTTGTATTTTGAATTTTCGTTTTTGTTTTTCTCGCGTCGTTGGGTATACATAACATCTGTACGAGAGACCGTTAGCGGCCTACCGCATAGTCGCGGAGCTCGTAATCCGGTCTCTTGTCGGTCGCGACAATATTTTAATATCGATAATACAACGAACCCGATAAGCGCGCGCGTTCTTCCCGCCGACCGGAGTTCCGAACGGTTTTCGGCCGTCGTGCATGGTGTCCGTACCGGACGTGGTGTCGGTGTCGTCGGCGGCGGCGGTGGTGACGATCCGCGAACGTCTCAGCGACGATGAGCGGCGCCGGTGCCGGCGGCAGCGGCGGCGGCGGCAGTGCTTTCATCAAAGTGCCCGAGGTCCGCGTGAGTTTGGCCCTCAACGATCAGCCGATCACGGCCACCACGCTGCTGTCGTCCAGCAAATCGCGTACGCCGTACAACGGCCACAGGGACGGCGCGGGTTGCGGCGGCGGCACCGTGGTGCTACTCTCGCCCGGCGTGGTCGGCGCCGCGCCCCGGCGCAGACATTCTTGGATATGCGGGTAAGCCGGTTCCCGCTTACCGATAAGCGCCACACGGCGTTCACGCGCATCCCGTGCGGCCCGTACTCTCTATAACAGTAGCCCCTACCCTTCAGCCATCGTCTCCGTTTTCAACTCCGCGACCCAATATTCGATAAAAAATAGTCAGGCCAGACATTATCTATACACCCATTTCCATGTTTTTGTTAAATCGAAATAACTGGTTTATTTAAAAATGTCTATCATCGTGCAATTTTAGAACGTATTTTAAGAATTTACGACATTTTTTAGGACACACGCAACTCAACGAATCGAGAATCAAACAATATTTTTTCAAAATGTATAAACGGGCAGCTGATATTCGTGTTATTTTACATGTTTTATATTATTTGGTAAAAAATATAGTCATACCAAAATGTGTTTCGTGGCTTATCGGTTTTATGTACACGATTTCCTGTATTTTCGGTGTTTGGATATTTGGTAGATTTTTGAGAAATTTTCAACTTGATTTTTATCGTTTTTATGGTTTCTTTTAGAGCTTTTTTTCAACAAGGACATATTTTGGTAGTTTTAGTGTTTTTGTTCATAGATTTTTTAGGAAAGATATTAATAATATTCTATACATACTTATTATAATAAAATATGCTAAAAACAGTAAATTATTAAAAAAAAAAAACCTTTTTACTGGTTAACTGTATTAGTATCAGTGCGACGGGGAAACAATTCGAAGACAGGCGTATTCAGAAAAATGTCTGTTAAGTTTTTGTAAAGTTTTACTGGCTGCCTTAATTTTTCCTTTAGAAACCCTGATGCTGCTCCTGGCTCCAACCCCTCCCCCCTTCGATTAGGATCCGCGTATTTATTTATTATTAACAAAATTATTAATTAAATTAATTATTTATCATTAACAAAATTAAAATTTTATACATATTATGTAAAGATTTTGTGTTTTATGGTTTCTTGAGTTTTAAGTATAATTTTACTCGGAAAATATTTCAGCTTTTCGGTTTTCTTTTTTCTACAACTACTGTAGTGCAAAAAACTAAATTCTTGGTTAAAAGTTTTCGTATCTATTTTAGAAACTTCTATTTTGCAGGCTCACGTAATATAAAATATAAACTAAAACAAGTAAAATTTACATGTACCTTACCTTACCTTACCCGAAAAAGATAAAATATAAAAGTAAAACGATTTTCTTTTATTAAGTTCAGGTTAGGTTATATACGTCTGCCCTATCCGACCTAACCTAACCTAACCTACTTATGAATTTGATTTTCGTTTTTAATAAATTAAACGTTCTCACGTGTTTATATTATGCGATTAAAATAAAATTGAAATTTAATATCTTCTTATTTTGCAACGTCTTGATGAAGGCGTTTTTATTACATTATTAAAATATTATAATATCATTCTAGTTCATTTTTACATATATTTAACACATATATTATACAATTATTTTGATTTATTAAACGACGATATTCGAGTAATATCATTTTTTTCAGAGTGATTGCAATCGACATGTACAAGAACAAAAATTAATTAATTTTCTTGAAGATGACGTTTTTCCGCAACTACTGTCTACTGCCTCAGTTATTGAATTGAGGTAGTTGTACCGGGTAACATGCAAAAACAATGCTTACGCAGAATAAATAAAACTAGTTTAATTTTGATTTTAGAATAAATGAACTGATTATGAAATTTTTAGAGAATAATATTTTAAAGGGAATGTCATAAGGTTTTTGTATTGTTCAAAATATACAACTTGATATAAAAGATACAAAAACCTATTTTTTCATTTTTAAATAACTGTAACTTTTTTAATAGTTTATAATTCAAAAAAACTCCTATGACATTCCCTCCAATTTTTTTTCCTCCGTTCTTTATAAATTTCATAATAGATACTTTTACTCAGAAATTAAAATTAACCTAGTTATATTTATTCTGCATAAATATTGTTTTCAAACGTTAATCAGTAGTTGGACTGCGACAGTAGATACGAGTATAACGTTCTCTTAATTTAACAATCTATGTATTTTTATGTATCTTTGGTGCAGAGGAAAAAGAGCTTAAGTAAATTGTGTATAGTTTTCAGATCAAATTTTAAACATTGCTAAATTGCATTATGATGACATTGATCATAGCTAAATGACTAAATAACAGAACGTCCTGTCCTAAATAGAGGAGTTCTAAAAGGCATAATTCGTATAAATTATAGTATAACTTATGCTTTTTTTTAAATCAACAGTGCATCGTATAGTGACATAACATAATATTACAGTTTTTAGTTTTCTATCACAAGTTAGAATATAAAAACATGCTATTCAGACCAATAAATAAAGGAAATTCGCAAGACAAAAAAAAAAATCACTTTAGCCGGTTTTCCCAGAGACCGAAGATAATAATACCAATATTATTTTAATATCGGTATAAATAATAAACGAGTGCGTAATAAAGATAAAAAAAAAATATTATTTTTATACAGTTATTGCGTGTTTACGTTTGCCGAGTAGGTAAACATTTTATATTACGAGAAATCATAAAATAAATAATAATATGTTTTATCACCCGGCTATACGGGGTGATTCTTTTACATGATATTCAAAAATGTTCTCATTGAATTTTAAGATAACAACAAAAATTGATTTCTGCTTTTTTTCTATTAATTTTAAGTAATTAATTCATGAAATGAGTTCCGTTCAACGATATTTTCAAATGTCCACCCTTACTACTTGTTATTCGTATTATGCATCACATGAATAGATATTAATTTTGGTTTTTGAACGACAACCCCTCCCCCCTTCTAGTTTTCAACACATATTGGAAAGAATGCATTCATTGAAATTAATCCCTTTTTATAGATATCGTATAATTATTAATTATTTATATGATGAGTACATATATCCATTCATTATTTTATGTCGGGAAATGAATTCAATATTTATAGAATTCTGAAAAAATAAAAATTATTTTTTTTGCAACTATTGAGGGTGATTATAACATTTTAGATTTTAGAAAACTCGAAAAAAACGTGGAAAGAACGGAAAAATGTAGGGTTTCGTATTTCTATTTTTACTTTTGTTGTAATTCAGTTAAAAATATTTGAACATTTATTTTTAAACACATTAATTTTGAGAGTTTTTTCCGTACCAATCAAAAATGATTGAAAATTTAACAGTAGGTTCATTATGAAGTTATTCTTAGTGAAAACAAATAGTTGAGTATAATGTAGTATTTTTTTTTTTATACGTGTTTTAATATCAAATTTTGACGAAAATCGTAAAATCTACGACATTCAAAACACGTATATTTGAACCTTACTCAAAATCGTTTTTCTTTAGCAATGGCTTATAATTCCTTATAGAAATAAGTTAAATGACCTTATCTTATCTTTCCAACTTCCCACCTAACAGTGGCACACCCGTCTTCAGTATAGGCTTCTTACAATATTCTTAAAAAGGAACATTTTTTTTTTCTATAATGCATTCCACATTAAAATAAATGTGAATATTGGATGCACTCAGTATGAAAATAACGAATTATGAATGGAAATGCATTATTTTATCCACCTCGGCAATGTACTCAATTGCAAGAAATGCATTCCTTTTTAAAAGGAATTTTCCAAACGGTAGAAAAAATAATGTCACGCGTAACATTAAGATTGTGAATTCAAATACCGTTTATAAGTTATAATTAGGATTCTAAACTTTCATGAAACTTATATTTTTTAAATATTCCATGAATATTACCGTGAAATATTTTATTTTAGTGGGAAATTCGTAAAATTTGTTTTTAAATTTGAAACTCTATTAAAGTAACCACAACGAACATCTACTTAAGACGTTACAGAACAGCTCGTAACATTTTAGATGTTATTAACACCAAATTGAAAATATTTGCAATATAAACAGTGTGTAGTCTTAATAAATATTTTAATCTATGCAAATTGTTGACGTTATTTATATTTGTATATTGTAATTACTGTACAAAGCCAGTTTGAACGTAAAGTATAATATTCTCCAAATATTGTATTATAATATTTTAAAGCGACGTCACATTTCGTCAAATTTTATACTACACATCAATTCTGTGTGAAATTGTGTGGCAGATCGATCGGTGACACTGAAAATTGTCATCAAAATCTTCTTTAAATATAATCGTGCAGTTACCACGAGGGTCTTTACAAATATATTGTGAATTATTAATTTTTTTTTTTTGGTCTTCTGAAAAGTTGTAATATTTAATTTATACCCTTTTTCACGAACGCTATCAGATTAAATATTGTACCAGTTTCGGATTCATGAACCACGGACGGGTGACGACAGAGAAGATAATGGATCATGATAATAAAAAATTCACCCCGTGTATAATAGTATAGTCATTGCATTATTTTTTATATGAGTAATTTAATATAATAATATAAATGTGAAAAAATAATACTACTACCTAATAATAATAATAATATTATAAAAACTACGATGTATCTAATAATACGTAATAATATTATATTTTATTTCGAAGAGTGAAAATGTTTAGGGGGAAAATATGATTGTTTTATTTCTTTCACTTCTATAATATAATAATATTGCATTATTATGTACCTCTATACTTATATTTTTCGTTACGTCGTTGATTTTTTTTTTTATTAATCGCAATGAAATGCACACGTTACATATAGATATCATATTGTTATTATTATTATAGTAAAGTAGGTCTAACACACACGCACAGTGCGCACACGCACACACGCACACACACACATACACACACGCACATGCACACACTGCAACAGTAGACGAGTTTTAGTCGGACGTTTAAGTCGATAAAAAAACCATCTTTTACTAGATTTAGACGTTTAAGACGCGACGACGGCGGCCGCTTCGGAAAAAAAAAAATAAATAAAAATAATAAAATAAATAAAAGTCTTGTCGACTGCTGCCATGACGGATTCGATCGATATAATTAATAATATTATTATTTTTATCGCGAAAGAAGACGGGATGCAAACTAAAACACAATAAAGTATACGGTAGAGTAAAATACGCGAAAAACATCGATATAAAATTATTATTTTTGTTTTAGTTTCTGAACGCACCGATAAATGTATTGGTTTTACTATGTGTTTTTTTTCTTTGCGTCTGTAAATAACTTTTCTACCATAAATATTGTTCCAATAATCGACAGTTCAGCATCTTTTCTAAAAGAAAATGTTCTCTAGTTGGTGTAATGTGAAGGTCATTTTTTTTTTTTTGATTTTCTTTGTACATTTTTCTAATAATTGAAGGGGAAAAAACCGGGAAAATGGTTTTTGTTCTGATTCGTTTGAAAAGATAACTAACTATATTACCGTAGAGACCTGAAATGTTTACAGAAATATTATATTAGCCCTTTCTAGATTTGATAAAACGTGAAAGGTACTCGTATTTGAAAGTGTCGAGATTTTATTTGGTTTTACGCTAATCAAATTAATTTGGCCAAGCAGTATTAATGCTTGAAATTTTAACACGAAGTTCATCATAAAGTTGTACTTGTTGGAAAACGAAAATAAAATGATCAGATATTAACGATTATTTCCTTATTGGAAAGATGATGTGTTTTGAATTCAAATTTTGACGAAAATCGTTTTTAGTATATTTCTTTATGTCATTCATGAAAAGTTTGCATATTGTAAGATACGATGAATTGTGAACGATTCGAAACATTTTTATAATAATTAAAGATATATGTCTCGAGGAAAAATTCACTGATAAGTAGATTTTTATTTCTGTTAAGTGAACAATAAAAAGCTAACTTCTGTTTCGTTTAGAATCATATTTTGAAAATGATTTTTGCTACGTTCTAAATAAACGAGTCTATTTCAAGACAATATCACCATAATATAGAAAAACACTGTCTCACTTTTCGATATTTCAATACTATACTTAACCTAGTAAAATTAATAATTTCTTTGATTCATAATTTGTTATTTGATTTTGTTTCAGGTAAGTTTAATATTTTGACAAGTTTACTTTGTAATACAAAGAACGTTACAATAGCATGCGTTTAGTAAGTATTTTACTATTGTACAAACATTTTAATGCATAAAATATGATTTTTAAGTACCTTATACCTAATCGTTTTTAAAGTATTATAATTTTATCGTTGGAATCGCGTTTAAAATAAAAACTTCGTTACACAGAGTGTCTCTCGAAAGTATACCCATTGCCATACCGAAGATAATAAACCCATTGCGATATCTTGGGAAGCATAAACTTTTTTGGGTTTATTTTTTTCTCAACGACTTGAGAAATATATATTAAAGTGGAATAACGAATTGGCGAAAGTAAGTATTAGTAAAAAAAGTATTTTAACTTATATTCCGTCTATTTATGGAATTTTTAATATAGGCTGTCATTTAAAAATCAAAAATTGGTAGATGTTATTCCTAAAAATATGGGTGGGAAAAAAAATGAAAATATAAAATTTTAGAGCTATTAGCAACTTAAATTTTTAGAAAAAAATATTCCGAAATATGGCAACGGGTATATTATCTTCGGGGGATATCTTGTATAGTGACAGTATTTTTTTAGGTGTTTTAGTACTTATTGTGATCAGTATCATCTTCCTACTAAGTATCTAGGTACACTTATCCATTCATTGACCCTTCGTATATGATCCCTTTACAATATAAGGGTCTATTTTTATGTTTAATACGAAATGGAATGTGTGGTATTGAGTAATGAATAAATATTAATTTATAAAGATTCTTTCAGAGTTGAAAATGTACAAAAAAATGTTCCCTAATAGTACTACATAGTATATCAATTACGATAATTTGCAATGGTTATTACTGTAAACTACTCACTCAGTATTGTTCAGTGGCGTACGCAGGGGGGAGGAGGGGTTAAGGGTTATATCCCCTCTATTGGCCAAAAAATAAAATAAAGTATGAGCAATCTAATATCAAAACATACATATCAGCCGATTTTCAAGGAATAGCTTGATGTATTGATTAGAAATTGCCTTTTTTTTAGTATCCGGCTTTTAAACTATCAATTCCCATAATCGATTAGGGCAGAGAAGATAATTTTACTCTTTATTTACGATTTTTATTTGTTACATCCCCTCCAATCGAAAATTTCTAGGCACACTAATATCTATGGTATTGACAATATTTCTCTATTATCCTTATTTATTAATTAATTAGATACAACAAAAGTGTGGTAGTAAAAAGTGAGGCAGTAGGTATATTTTATTTTGTAGCAAAGAATTGGAGTGGAGGTCTGCGTACCCTTAATAATAGTGTTTAGTGCAAACAATTATTTTAAAAAAATAGGCTTTGTTTCACAATTTCCACGCCCAAATTTATGGTCAAACTATTACATGAATTTTGATTACGAAAGTATCTAAGCATTAAATTGTAATATACTTATTCGTTTGATACTATCTATTTCTTCAGCTTATATTTTGTACCCCTTTAGAGTATATTAGATGTAGTGTACTACATCTTAAAAGCCTTTTATCGATTCCTCTTCTAGTTTGTAGGTGTGCGTCTCTGTCGAATAAAGTAATAGTAATACTATAGGCCATATACGTATTATGCTATAACTATTCTTTTCCCGAGTTTCATGTTCATTTTCTCTGATAAAACGCAATATTCTTCTCCTTATTTCAATTTTGCGTTTTACATCGTCCGTAAAATTGGTTGTCCTATAAATAGAAAAAAACGAATAACGCACAATTCTGCACAATGTACCTTTTTACCTAAACGATTCCACATAAATAATAATATAATGTTGTCAGTTATGGTTTTTATAAAAACAAATAAATAATAATTGTTAATTATAATCTAATTCTTGTAATAATAATTTCAAAATTGCATTGCTGGTATTTTAAATTATCTTGGTTAAATTTTTAGACGATTTATGATATAATTTTCTATAATTTTTTTCGCTTGAAAACACTGACCAACTTAATGTAAAAATATGATTGATTTTGTTTATTTTTATTTGCTTTATATTGGTTGTATTCATTCGCAGAAAATTCTATACGTAATTTTTTTTTTTCATTGTTTGGTATTATAATTCAATTTAATAGATTTTATTTTGGTTTTGGTAACTGACTGAACTTCGAGTAACATTTTTTTATCCAAATAGTAATGTATATGAGGGTGATAGAATTGATTGTAATATGTACGACGAAAGCTTTTAGAACTTTTCGTAATTGTTTTTTTTCATTTGATAATTTTATCTTATATAAGTAAATTCGTAGTTAATATTTTAATTTTTATGATATAATAAAAACTTCATGAATTTAAATGAAATATTTTTTTAAAATGATAATTTGTCATACAGCTTACTATAAAAGTTCAAATTTGAATTTAAATATAAAAATAGACTCATGATCAACGATGAAAAATTAAATTTTAGAAAAATAATAATTATACAATTATTTTTTTTTTTATTTTGGATTCATTGATGGTTACTTATAATTCTAATGGAAATAAACAAGTGTCTTCAATATGAATGTTTAAAATATAATCAGTGAATAGATAACTACTTGACTTTGAAAAGAAATAAGAATTACTAAAATACCTATCATCGTTGGGGCCTATAAATTCAATGAATGCATAATTTACTTCATTGTACATTCAAGAAAAGCTAAAGTGATAAATGTGTTCGATGAATTTCCCAGTTTGTGATTTAAATCCATAAACCGTTCTTTTTAACTAGAATAACTTCAAATTTATAAAACAATTTTAACTGTGCTGAACCACTGACTACTCTACCAAAAGTCCATCCATAAACTAATCTCTACTGCTTGAATATGTGTCTTTCCGCCATCTACACGTAATTAATCTAATTTTCGTGAAACGTCGCAACACTCACAACAGCAGCGTAGCATTGTTATTGTAAAAGCGGAGTCGTGTAATGCGAAATCGTGAATAATCGAATAAAAAAAAAAAAACGATTAACCTATGGTTTTACGGTACATCAGTTTATTCAGCTAGTGATAGTAATAGTGTAGATAACATCAATAACAGCTGTTGCTGTATGATAACTCATTAATTGACTGATACGATAAATAATATATTTTAATTATTATGATATGGTGTTAATGGTTTCCGTAGGCTTTCTACTGTTCTCTAAAAGCTCCAAATATCTTCTCCTGTTCTTATACTCAAGTGTAGTGCAGGTGAAGTGTTTTTAAAAGTTATTTTTTATAGAAATTTCTATCGCTAAATTAAGTCAGGATTTTTTTTTTAAATTTACAATCAATAAATAATAATTTACAGGAAAAACATCGGGTTAAATTTGAATTAGTTCACATTATTTTAACGTTTTTATAACACACGATTCTGCAGAATTCAAAATAAAATAATAAAATAAAAATACTTCTGTCAATTTATTTTTTTCTGGTACTTTCTCTCACCAATATTCATTTAAACGAGAATTTTGATCAATAATTATTTTAATTAATACGCTATGAATAGTTTCCTAATTACAATAGTCCGATAAAGTTGTTAACTCAAGTTTATAACTTAAGTTATTATTTAATTAATATATTTAGCACTAATTATGTAATTATTTTTACAATGCGATAGTATTTTTGATGTGTTATTTGGCTAAAAGACATTATGTTGATTCAAGAATTCGATATAATTGGTTTTAAAATTTTCATGATTTATACAGTATAGCTACAAATCTAAAAAATAGAACTTATACTACAAAAAAATTTCGGAAATATGTACATGTTTTATTAATATCGATAATAATCTCATTTTACCATATTTTAGATCTTGAGTGGAGTGTGGAACGTATTGGTTTTTTTTTTGTGAACAGCTTTTCTACCAGAAATTTTGCAGCCAATACTCAAACGCAGTATTTTTTCTGAAAGAAAATTGTACTGAAGTGGTACTCAAGTCATTTTTTTGATTTTCGAAGGGTTTCATAATAAATGGGAAAACCGGAAAAACGGGAAAATTTACGAAATATAATATTCATAAAACCGTACATATTACGGCTTTTCAAAACATGTATAACCAAACTCCTCTCAAAATCATTATTTATCAACAATGATCAATCGTTGTGTACAGATATACATTAATTTTCCTCTCTACCTGTTCAACTGCTCACTTACAACAGTGGCCCACCCAAGGTACGAAGTACGTTCGTTTGTTTTTAGATCCATGCTGTTGTGAATTGAATATAAAATAATAAAAATAACGAATCTCACATGATTTATTTCTCCGCTATTTCCATATACGTTTATACACCTCATAAAGGGAGGGGGTGTGATAAATTTAAAAAAATTCTATAACAAACAATATGTTATAAAGAAAATTTTTCATTCCAAATTTCGAATGCTCTATAATATCATGACTGTATTCATTAATCACTGCAGTCAACTGGGCCCCTCTCTTTAATCCTTTGGAGATCAAATTTCAAAACACTTATCTACTTTACGCTTTTAAAGCCTATAAGGAACATCGAAATGTACGCGTGGAAATTTAAGTTTTCGTCGTGGGTCTCGAGTAGTTATGGGGCAACAGGAATACTTACACCATGGTGATCAGTCATCCAATAAGTCTAAGGTTTCACTATTATATTTTATATACACTTACATGTCGAATACAAAATGTTTGTTTTAAGTTTCGACATTTCATAATGTGACGACAAAATATATTATTATGGAACAAGTGTATACCTAGTGCCTAGGCGTATTTAAGGGCTAGGGGGAAGAGAAAGAGATTTTTTTTTCTTTAACTATTAAATTTATATATTTTGAAATTGATGTATCGGGAGTTAAGGGGTGGAACTCCCGACGGGTTACGTTACATTAAATAATTTTAGAAGACGCTAAATTGTTTAAGTCTTATCTGTCTTCTTTCAGTTTTCCAATTCAAACACAAGCTAGGTATAACCCGTTATTGTATTTATTCTTTTATCACGATTAAAAGCGTCTATTATTGTGGTTATATTATACTCATATCACCTGCATTCCTTTACCTTTTAATGAATTTCCGAACTTTTAAAATTAATACTTCGTTATTTTTATAATAAAAAAAAACGGTCATTTTTTTTTTATAATCATTTTGATAGCTGTCATCTCCCGGCGTTTCCCGGGTTAAATATTAGATTATCCAGAATAATAATAATAATAATAAAAAATAAAAAACCAGAAATCAATAAAAAAAAAATTAAATTTTACACGTCTCCTCTTTTCTGTCCCGCCTTTGTATCCTTT